CCAAATGCAAATTTGTTTTTGTATTTTATATAAAACTAAGCTAGCAACAGAGTTATAGAGAAGCTATAAAAAAAGTAAGGCAAACAAAAAGGTTGGCTGTTTGCTTGTTGAGTACTTAAATGATAAGTTATTTGCAAAGAGAGGTGCTTTTTAAAGTAAAAATAAAAAAGTAGGGGTGTAAAGAGAATCATGGTTTAGAAGCTTTAACTTAAGGGCTTACACTATATATATTAAATTGAGATTAAACAGCTTCATACCTAAATGTAGAGTCAAAAGCAACAAACTTAAAATTATAATTACAAACAAAGTGATATATCTTTCAAACCGCCATTAATCACAATGGTCAGAGTTCATGTGTGGCACCCATAGTGAATGAATTGCACGGCAATATCAATGAGTTGCAGTAAAGATAACAAAGAATTTGGAGTTTTTGTTAATCATATGAATGAGTATTGACCTAAAAACTGTTCACATGTGTTCTACTACATTTTGTGCATGTAATTGAAGTATTCTTCTATATGCAACATATAAAAAAGAATCTTAGGTCCGATTACATTCGTAGGTGGCAAAGGTCTGGTTCGTAATACTTATATTTATTATAAATCATTAAATATAATGAATCAATTTATTGAAAAGTTTTTTGGTCATATTTAAGTAAGAATTAGGTTATCTTTGTCAACTTTCACATAGATGGCATTTTGTTTCAATTTTCACTTTACAAATATGTCTTCTATTGTTCACTATCAGGTATGTGAAGGATGTCTCTTGGTTCACCAACTCATTGCAAAAAAATATGAATTTCTTTCTACAATCTACATTATTCTTTTTTTTAAAGCATCTACATTATTCTTATGCATTAGTGTGTTACTATCTGGTAGCTTCAGAGCACATCATCCTCCTCCTCTTGGTTCTTGAAAGGATTAATGTTCACATAAAAGGAAATAGTATATCTCTGCACCTTGATTTTCGCATTGTACACTTCTTTTATCAATAAAATTTCCCTTTTCTTAAAAAAAAGAAAATAGTATATATAGAGGTTAAAGTTATAATGTTCTTATAGCCATCTCAGTAGGAAAAAAAGCATGTCATGTTTTGATTAATTAGCATACTTTGTTCTTTGTTCTTCATGAGTGTTAGCATACCTCTCAATGAACTCTTCTTTGTTCTTTTGTAATTTTCACAATTATCATATTGATTAAAGTTCTTCATGAGTGTTAGGTTTTCAGGACAATAACCACCTGAGGAAAACTTAAGAGATAAGACTTATATGATGTATGTGATGGTTTGTTTCCTTGTTGAGTATTTCAATGATAATGGTGGATTACTATGAGGATAAACTCTTTATTTTTCAAAACATAGTAAAACATAGTAGCATTCAAGTCTTTCTAGGGCATTAATTTTCTAGAAGATGCGAGTCCAAATGATTTGATTTATATAGTGGCAGAAGTAAGTAATAAAAATAAATAAAACCATCTAAATTTAAAACAATTAGAGTTGTACTGAAGTTATTGAATGGGTAGAAACAAAGGAACCTGAACATTAAAACACTTGATATAGATAACAATGATTTTCTAAAGCTCAGATTGAGCAGCTCGTAATCTGTATAAGTTCAGCTTTAGAGTCTCAGGTTGTGTTTTTTCTGTGAAATCCGCAATCTCATTTGCAAACATCAATAGCCCAAGCCTCACTAACCGATCAACTTTCTCCCTTAGGCCCTGTTTGGTTGGAGGTTTTTGGAGTTAAAATTGAAAACTTGTTTGGTCATAATTTCAAAAATTTCTCCCTTAAAAATTGAACTTTTAAAATTAAACAATTAAAAAACTAAAAAAAATTAAAAATTAAAAAAATTAAAAGTTAAAAAAATTAAAATATAAAAAATTAAAAAAGTAAAAAAAAATAATATTATGACTCATGACCATAGGAGTAATATTCACCATAGTTAGAGATGTATCTATTTTGTTAAGTAAACTATCAAGTAAAGGTAAATTAGGAAAATATTTTCATTAAACCTTTCCTCCTATTTCCTCCCACCAAACACAAATCTTTATCAAAATCCTTGCTTCCTCTTCCCTTCCCTTCCATCATTGTCTCTCATCTTCCCTGCCCTCCTTTGAACCAAACAAGGCCTTAGAGTCTGGAAATGAAATTCTTATCTGAAAACGTTAAAGCAAAATGAAACTTTGAGAACTTACTACTTTTAGTGTTATACTTCATATAAAACTAATGAGCCAGCTTGAGGTTATAACATTTAATTTTGGCTACCCCAGAATATCATCACCTCCTGCACAAAGGGTGAAGGGAGCCTCATCGTAGGAGTTCATCTCATTGCTCAACTCCAAAGCCTATACAGAATTCAATTTTTCATTTCATTCATTCATTCTCCCAACATCATTGGTATGAGTGCAATGCAAATGAAAACATTTACACACAAGTCTTGCAAGAAACAATTTCTTGCGAGCACCTAAGTCTTTCATTAATTTTCTCTCTTTTAACTTGAACCACATAGCAAATTAAACACATGCATTTTACTTTACATGTCAAGATTAAAACCTTTATGTTACAAATTAAGCTGAAAAATTAGCAGAGATATTATGAACTTTGAAATCATTTATTTCGAAAATGATTTCAAAATAAAGTTGTCTCAATAGCAGTCATAGAATATTGATTCGTCCAGAAAACCGTCCATTTATTGCAAAGGAACGTTGGGCATTTATGTGTCGTAATGTCCACAACACTGCGCGCAACATTCGTGTCCACAGGTCGCCCGCGCACGCAGGTCGCGCTTTTTGTTCTCGGATTTCGGGATTTGATTCGCACCCCCTGCGCGCGCGAGAGAGCCTTTACCCTGAGAAATCTTAACTCCTTAAGGGGGGTTTTCCTTTATAAAGGGTTCAAACTCCCTTGGGTTTTCCGGTGTGGGAAAAACCACACTAGAAACCCATCTTTTCCTAGTTTTCTCCATTCCAACGAGTGAACTTCGAGAATCAATTTCTCATTCACCCGTTATCCGTTTTGAGTGTACCATATATCGAATTGTAGACCTAAGCAAGGACAATCCGAAACCACTTTGATCCGACCCAAATCGGAAGTGGACCCCACTAAAAAAATTCCCCAAAAATGACCATTTAATGCAATTTACTAACACTTTTTCCAACACTATTTACCTAATATCTCATGCACACCATGAATTGATCTAACATTGAATGTTGAGGGTCTAAAGGGTGCATACTGAAGGCCAAGTGTACCGTCTGTCACCCTCGACCTCGGCATTATTATGTCATACTTTTGTCACACTTGATATCACTCTGCTTCATGCTAACGTAGTTATGCATATAATCAAGGTCACATGTATGCTTTTTTGTAGGCCTTTAGATAATTATCCAAGATTTCCGACATAAATACCTATTTTCTGATTTACTCCTACAGTCCTACACCTATCTAAACTAGATTCAAATAACAAAAATGCTTGAGGTACACAAAATGTGTACACAAAATGTGTACGCATCTCTGTCCTTCACAGAAATTTTGTCTGTCACAGACAATTCAAAATGAGTTGTCTGTGACAGACAAAGAAGTACAGACATGTGTACACATTTTGTGTACCCCTAGCAAACTCTTCAAATAACCCATCATTAACCCTTTACGATTGTTACTATAGTAAAAAGGGAAAAGGGGCAAATATGCCCTCGAACTAACCAAAAAAGCGCAAATCACCCTTTATATAGGAGGCTTTGTCCGATGGTCGTCATTTGGGAAGGTTATTGGTGGAATTTTTTGATGAAATGTTTTGAGCATCTTCATTAATTCTAGTTTACTCATACCAAATTTAAGCTAAAAATTCAATTGATAAGGCAGTCAAATGAATTTTTGAAGATAACTGTGCAGTTAAAAGCGCGATATATTTTAGAAAATCATTTGACTGCCTTCCCGGTTTACTTTTTACTTGAAATTTGGTATGGGTAACCTAGACTTAATGAACAAGATGCTAAAAAAATTTCATAAAAGAATTCCACCAGGAACTACCCCAAATGGAGACGGCCGGACAAAAACTCCTATATAAGGGGTGATTCGCACTTTTTGGTTAGTTCGAGGGCTTATTTGCTACTTTTATCTAGTAAAAAAGACATTATTATTTCTCCAAAATTTACTCCTACTTCTATCTATAATAGATTCAAATAATCCATCATTAACCTCGGGACAACCTACCTTATCTTAATATGTCTCATCCATATATTTCGTTGGACTCTATATACAACTCCTAGAGCAAGAGATTCAGTCGCTTAAAAGTTAAAATACCAAGTATTTTAAAGTTTCATCATATTTGATTACCCATCACCGTGAATATCACTCTTAATAATCTTCAGTTGCGTGTTAATAAACTCCAACATTCAGCAGTTTTTCTCCCTCAACTATGGCTTCTTTTTTTTCCAGATGAACTCTAGCGAAATCAACACGTGATTGTTGCATGGACTGTGGCAGAGGATGGGGTCAGCCAATCTCGAAGAATTGTGCAAGAATCTGTCCCTGGATGAAGAAAATATAGGATCTCCAAATGAGAAGTAAAAGTATAGCCATCGCATGATCAATGTGATGGCAATCGCATTGTGAAGTGAAACTGTAAAAGTGTTGCTATCACATAATCAACGACATATTTTAGCCTCAAATCTCAATAAAGAAATGCCAACAGGCCACAAAGATAAAGGCAGTTGTCAACTGTAAAGTTTACAAATAGGTTAAGCACATGTATAGCCAATATATTCTTGAAAGCACAAAGGGGATGAGAGACTTAGGTAGAGCATATTCGCAGTTAGGCAATGCCAATTCGTAAAGGAAAAAACAATGTAAGCGACCAAGGGAGGCTAGCACCTAGACAAGTCTAGGCAGAAACTTTTAGAAGAGGATTGCTAAGCCACCCAAGGCTATACGTTTAGTTATACATCAAAATGAAGGTCAACTGGATCATAAAGAATTGACTTCACAGTTCCCATCATTTCTTGTGCAGTGAAACCATCATCCTTGGCATAGACTTGATGCAACACTTTGCTCATTTTCCAAAACAGATCTTTGCAATCCATTGGAATCACACCATCCTGCAACACTAATCTCAGCAATTCTCTTCTTTTAGAATGGATCAAATCGGTAATTTCTCTCTTTGCCGCTTCTTCAGTCACACCACCGCATCCTTGAATAACTCGCAATGACAGATAATTTAGCTTCCCTTCCTTTGATTCCCTCTGCAAATTAAAATAGAAATACAGCAGCTTCTTTCAGACCCACGAAAATTGGCATGGCTCTAAAATTTGTGGGAAGTCATTATTAGGCAAGATCAATTAGGGAAAAAGTCGAATAGCCAAAAGGGGCCTAGTGCCTAGATGGAGACTTTTCAGACTTGACTATACATCCTAAAAAAGATAGCCATAGGTCCCTCAAAATGGTGACTTGTTAGTTGTTATGAATGGTCTACGCGTTTAATATGTCACCCTTGTGGTGGAACCCTTCCCCGGACCCTCACCATGAGGGGATGCCAATGTTCACCAGGCTGCCCTTTTTTATATCACATTAAAATTTGCGGGTTTCATCCCAAATGGCCAAACTCATAGGAGTAGACAAAAAACCTCATATGGTAATTTACTTATTTTTTGATATTTATCTGATGTAAAAAGAGGAGCTTTGGCGCACCGGTTACGCCGTTATGGTGCTGCTATGTGATCGAGATGTTGCGGTTCAAGTCTTGGCAGCAGCCCTCTTGTCAAAATGACAAGAGAAGACTTCTTGACAAGATAAGGCTTCTTACAAGAGAAGACTTCTTACACCCTTTTGGTGAAACCCTTCCCCAGACCCTCGTTTTGGGTGACACCAAAGTGCACCGGGCTGCCCCTTTTTTTATGTAATGTGAGCTGGTTTGATGAAGCTCAACAAAGATTTTTAGAAGTCTAAGAGGCCATAGAATTTGAAGGCATATATCTACCTCAAAACCCCTCAAATCATTTAGAAGACGGCCACAAGTACTCATTAACTTGAATAGATGGTGGTATTCAGGGTGCTGGATGATCTCCTCCGAGATCTTTGGCCCAACTAAGTAGAGGGCTGGTAGGACAATTGGTCCCAATGCAAACGATATGTAACTATTCTCCATGTAGTCATCCAATGCTGGCACTGACATGTTTCTTGTCCATTCAGCTTCTCTTAACATTGAGTTCAGCAAATTCAACCACTGCAACTCACAATTGTAGCTATCAAACATCAATTGCACATTCAACAAATGAAAAATATTACCAACAGTGAGACCTCTTTTGTAAGATGGGGTATTCAGCTGAAGCTGATTCCACTGAAAAGAAAAATTATATGGTAAAAATCTGTTTCAGCCAAGTAATGGATCAGTAAAAAAGTTATTTATCTTATCAATTATCCTAATAAGTGGATTAAGCCACTTTGGATACCAAAACGGGTTCTAAAGCTATTAAGTATGAGCATCGCATTAAGAAGATGTCACTACCCCAACAGATCGTCCTTCTTTCATATGCATCTCTAAAGTATAACATGTGAGTGAATTTAGAAAATAATGCTTGAATTGACTTTGAGATATTTATTAGTGGTAAATGACAAGTAATTGTATCTCACAATCTCAATTATGTGGCTCGTCACATCACGTTCTTGCCATCTAAGTGCCTTGCCTCCAATCTCAGAAATTGTGCTGTGGAGTGCAGAAAAAATGATCTGAACTTCCTCTGAACAGCATTCAGTGCTAACACTAATATTCCACCTGGGCATGACACATACTTCATAGACTCAAAAATTCAGCAATTCCAATGAGGGTTGGAACTTGGAAACGACTAACCAAAGATTGACTGAAAAGAAATACTTACTTTTCAATCAACTGAATGAGGTTTCTTAATTCTTCCATAGAACCTCCAATATCAAAGAAGTCGTCCACCACAGTAGTCAAAACACCATTTTGGGCCCATGCAATACGGACATCGGATTGTTCTGGTGGAAAAAGTGTTGCTGCAGCTGAAAAGTAACAATAGGCAGACTTTTTTCTTGCAAACTTCAACTTATCCAAACCATTTTTTGCTACCCACCTTTTTTTTAATAATAAAGACCCATTAGTGTATAGCATGGAGAAAATGAGGAGAGTCAATGAATTATATCAAGAAGCCAAACAATCGGGAAATGATATACTAATGAAGTAAAGATAATTATTAAATTCGGCCTAACCTATCCCAAAATGATTATCGAGATGAGGTTTACCTCACGATTATACATTAGACTAAAACCTCATAAACATCTTATATGAAACACATAATACACACACTCATCCAAACAGACTGGACAATTGACCCGGGTGGACAAACGGCTCAAAATGACTTCCGAGCCATGGGGAACAAAAAATGTCTACAATCTGATAAGGGTCATTTAAAATCAAACTTTAACACTGCCCCTTCGAGTACACCACTACATCGGGTCATTTTGAATCCAACCAGCTGGTAAATCGCAGTTTAACTCCCTCAGAAACAGATACGAGACACTTATATATTATTAGAGTATTAGACCGAAACCCGGAGCAAAATCTGATGTCTGAATGTCTGATATTCAGAAATAATGCTCAAGTTCCACAAACACTTGCACACAAATTAAACTGAAATGGTTCAAATAGACTCTTCTACTATTATCAATTACTCCGTATAACTTAAGCCCTTATACTTGAAAAAGTATCATATAAGTCTGCTTACTCCACAAAGTCGATCAATTCATCTATTTAATTGATTATAGACTTCTTATATCTGTTCTTTTTAAATCTATTAAAATTACTTTGATTTAGAAAAAGACAAAAAAATGTAAAAATTTAAGAATGTCAAAATATATAATACATGTTTTTTATGTTTTTGGAATTATTTGTATATTCTACATCTTTTTAAAAGTTTTTATGTTTTAATTTTTTATTTTTTACATTTTCATATATTTTCAGATTTTTTTATTTTCAATTTTTTTATTTTCAAGTTTCTAAAATAATATACTCCCTTCGTCCCGCTAAGATTGTCCCATCCTTGCTTTTTGATCCGTCCAACTAAGATTGTCTCATACCGTCGTCATCATCATTACCCCAGGGCTGCAAAGGCTCCCACACCTTCGGTGGGGTAAGGGGGGTCGGATGTATGCAGTCTTACTCTTGTACTAAAGCACAGAGAGATTGTTTCCGGATGACCCATAGTGAAAATAGCGTCGAAAATTGCATGGACTGTCTCATACCAAGTTTGGTAAAATTTGTGTGATTTTAAATTATTTTTACTTTATTCTTACTTTATCAATTCAATATCAACCTCATAAATCCACTTTTGTTAATAACTGCACCACCTCCTCATGTCCCAATGTTAGTGGGACGGAGGTAGTATCTATTTTCAAAATTTTTACTATTTTTGAAATTTCTATGTTTTTAAAAATTTAAATAATTATTAAAAAATTATAAATTCTCTAAATCAATATTTTAAAAAATGATCTGATATAGCAGATAAAGATGGTTGGATTGATTGTGTTTTCAAAGTAGACATGCTTATGTAATACTACGTACTTTTTTAGTATAGCTGGATAGGGATTCAATTGATGAATTTGAAATAGTAGAAGGGATTATTTGAACATTTTACGGTTTTTACCCAAATTAAATATAAAAAAAACTGTACTTTCATGTGCTCTGACTCTAAAAGACTGCCTTCAAAGCAGTAGGGGCGGACAACTAGCCAATTAGTTAAGTACCACTTCAGACTCCCACCTTTCAAGTTGTTTCAGTTCTTCACGGTGTATAGATTGGCAAAGGTTGAAATCCTGAACAGCAAGACTTAGGACATCTTTATTGCAAAAGTTTGAACTGTAGGAGACATAAAAAAGAAATGGAAGAAATCTTAAAAAATGGTCTATTGTAACCATATTCAAGCGACAATACAAATTTCATAGAAGAAGTAAAGCGCTATACCTATATGAAGTTTTGGAAATTCTTGCATTCTCTACATTGTAATGCTCGATGTATCTTCGGTTTGCAACTCGTTCTAAATTTGCATAGAAGGGAACACTAAGCACATCCTTCACCTAGAAATGACATAATAACTCTTTGTCCCTTGCTAGTTCAAATCATTAAAAATTTGACCCCGGCAACAATCTCTTGAAGCAACTAGAAATATTCCACTTTTGGTCAATCGATTATTGGGTCATTTTTTATTTTGGTCCCCACCCAACTTTCATTTATTTTTTAACTTTTGGGAAACGATGATACATTATTGCCATCTTTGGTCCTTCCAGCCACGTAATCGGCCAATTTCCATACATTTTTAGGTTTCCATTTCCTGGGATAAGTAATCAGAACACTAGCAAAAAAAACAATAGTGTTGCACAAAGAATTGAGAACATGGAAGTCAAGGACCATATATATATTGTCCCTCAACTAGTAGATATATAATCATTTGCAGCAATGCAGGGCATTCAATTGACCAAAGAAAATATCAGGAAATTGTTCAACAATGTTGAACTCTCTGTTTATCCATATGACATTGCATGGGTAGCTATGATCCCTTCTCCACATTCCCCAGAAATCCCTCGTTTTCCTGATAGTTGACGGACAATATATATATATATATATATATATATATATATATATATATATATATATATATATATATAATAGTATATATATGGTCCTGGACTTCCATGTTCTCAACTCTTTGTGCAACACTATTGATTTTTTTTGCTAGTGTTCTGATTACTTATCCCAGGAAAAGGAAACCTAAAAATGTATGGAAATTGGCCAATTACGTGGCTGGAAGGACCAAAGATGGCAACAACCCCTCTTAAAATGAGAACCCCTCTTAAAATGAGAACCCTTTATAAAATGAGAACTTTTAATCTCCACCATTCATTTATACAATCAATGGCTAATAATGACAAGGTGACATTTTTGTAATAGTTAGCATTAATTGCAAAAGGGTCCCATTTGAATTTAGAATAATTATGAATATGAACTCATGTGAATCATAACCAATGATTACAATAAATGAAAGGTTGAGATTAAAAATTCTCATTATTCGAAGTTCTCATTTTAAGAGGGGTTCTCACTAGAACCCTCCCCTATATATATACACACACAACAACAACAACAACAACATCCAAGCCTTATTCCCTAAAGAATTATATATGTACACGCACACGCGGCCACGCGCGCACACACACATATATATAGGGAGCGGATCAGGTGAGAAGTGTTCTTAGGCTGAAAACTGCGAAGTAATTTAAAAAGTTGTAAAAGTTCAACATTTGGCTTTATAAGTTATGTTTAACGTATTAATAGTTTATTAGGACATATATGTCTTGGTAAATAAATAAATATCTTTTTGACAAATATTTTTTTGTAAATATATTTCAACTACTACTAGTGTTTTTCATTGTAATCTCATACTTCCTCAATTTTTCACTGTAAAATTATACTTTTGATTTAGAGTTGTTGGATTTATAAGTTATGATTTTTATTTTATAAGTCACCTTATTGTCTCTATTAGTTAAACTTCGTAGTTTTCAACCAAAGACTCACTTCTTACATGATCTTTTCCCTATATATATATATATATATATATATATATATATATATATATAGAGAGAGAGAGAGAGAGAGAAATGCTCAGGTCCAACCGGAGGGACGGGAGCCTTCGTCCGAACTTTGACGTTTGGGGCGGTTCCCGGTGGAATTTTTTGATGAAATTTTTTTAGCATGTTCATCATCAAGTCTAGTTTATCCATACCAAATTTCAGCTCAAAATTCGATCGGGAAGGCAGTCAAATCATTTTTTGAAGTTGACTGCGCTTTTATATGTATATTTTGGCGCAGTCAACTTCAAAAAATGATTTGACTGCCCTCCCGATTGAATTTTGAGCTGAAATTTGGTATGGATAAACTAGACTTGATGATGAACATGCTCAAAAAAGTTCATCAAAAAATTCCACCAGGAACCGCCCCAAACGTCGAAGTTCGGACGGAGGCTCCCGTCCCTCCGGATGGACCTGAGCATTTCTATATATATAGAGAGAGAGAGAGACCTTATATATATATATATATATATATATATATATATATATTCAAGACACTGCGGCACAAGCATAGCAGCAAAAAAAATACCTGTTTATGGATCTCTCTAGTATGGATATCTGAATAGAGTGAATCACTAGAAAGTTCCTGTCTCAAAATCTCAAACCACCTGTTATGTTTCTCATAAACATAGTCCTCTAAATTACATATTATTTCCAGTGCTTGATAGAGATCCAGCATAGTATATATATCCTTTGGATGACCAGCAGTGATATTGCAGATGGTTCCCTCCAGAAATCGAGTGACAGGACCTATATAGTAAGTGCATAACTGATCCATCAAACATATAAACTCAGCTATTTACATTGTTGTATGCAGAAACAAAAACCTATTACCAGTCTGAAAAATTGATGAGTACCTGCAGAGATGTTATAGCCATTCATTCGCAGCATTCTGAATGCCAACCCACATGTGGAGGCATCCATAAAGATCTCTTCATCCCCCTGCATCCAGCACCTCTTTTACCCGGAGGAGGGGGGGCTTGTCTAAGATAAAAAAAAAATCATATAACAGAAGATTACGGCCTGTTTGGTAGCATTAATCAACTTAATCTGCTAATAGGCAGAATAAGTCCCTTTCTACTTACTGATTTGGCTGAAATTGGTGTCCAAAAACGTTTTTCTTTTCATAACAATTCAACAAATTAAGCCATTTCAGCCAAATAACCCTTACCAAATGGGCCCTAATCAATTTATTTATATTAATAAAAGGTTGAGATTTAGGAAAGCTACCTGTATGTTTCATCTAATACATTTCTTATTTCCTCATTGAAATGGCGACTAATGCCCAATTTCTCGATGTTATCAACAACAAAAAGCCGTGAATATACATCAAGCCGGTAGATTGTTGGAACTGAAGAGATCAAATCAGAAAATTATAATTTAACATGTCGTAACAATGAAAAATAAAACCAACAGAACGTCCAGCAATGGTATATGTACCTTTGTTCCCACATCTTTCCAGAACAGAATGCAGGTATCTAAGGCAATCGGAATCGTGGTCATGAATAAGTGCAGCGGAAGTTGTGGAAGGTGAATTGAACAAGGAGCCATTTTTCATTTGGTACTTCATAACCATTTCCCAGTCTTGCACCAGTCCTAACCCTTCTGATACGTATGCAAGGTAAGCCTCAAGATCCTTTGAGCTACTTCCCATGCATCTACAAAAAAGGTGTGAAAAGTCCTACATTGGAATATTAAAGAGAAAAAGATAGGTTTATAATACCTTAGGTTGAACTAGCTAATTGATTGGGTTCAATGATTTTGTGTTGTTTGGCCTACTTTATGACCCAATCCTGAATTCTGTCAAAGGGAGACTATGACAAGGTGCCTCTTTGGAGACATTCACTTCATCCCTTAATCAATTCATGCTTTTATAAGCTTGTAGTGTTCTAACTTTTTTGTCATGCAATTAATAGTTTAGCTTGTCTTGGTCTAACTTATTCAATTATTGAAAGTAAACTTTGTTAATATACCTATGAAGCTCCACATCCCGCTTATGTAGTAGTTCGTTCAAGATTTTAGGGTCTAAGTGGAGCTTCAAAGACAATGCATTAAGACAATCAAGCATCCCGGAGAATATGATATCAAACCCAGTGGGTGTAATTTGACTTCTATCAGCAGCAGATGTGAAATTTGACTCAATGAAAAGCAAACCTGCAACATATGAAGTACCAACATCATTAGCAAATACAAGGTATTACTTTATTTTCCCTTTTCTGCCGATTCCCTATTCTTGTTATAATCAGACCCCCAAACCAGAAAGATTCAGACCAGATCAGATGCTACCTTTCAGCTAAGAAAATTAGCCAAGATAAAAAACATTCAAGTCCGGACAAACCAAAAGATCAAACAAGAAACATTCAGACATGACCAAAAATATTCAGAATAGACTGCCTTAAAAGTTCAGACGATACTACATTTTTCCATGCAAAGAGAACAAATCCTAAGTACTATGTACAACACTTCAAGAAGAATACGATTGAATACCTTTATTGATATGTTCTTCACCAATACCCCATCTTTTCAGTGCAAGCACACATGCCAGAGTTGATAAGAGAACATCTTTGAGAAACATGGGATGAACATTACGGAGACCCCATGATCCATCTTGATACTGATTACTTACCACCCAATCCAAACATTCAGGAAAACGAGGGATTTCTGGGGAATGTGGAGAAGGGATCATAGCTACCCATGCAATGTCATATGGAGAAACAGAGAGTTCAACATTGTTGAACAATTTCCTGATCTTTTCTTTGGTCAATTGAATTCCCTGCATTGCAGCATATGATTATATATCTACTAGTTGGCTAATATTTGAAAATCAAAAGAGTGAAAGTCAATGGAGGGAACGAATCCCTTAAAATCTTACTGAAAAATGCACATCGATTGATCTGCCTCTTTCATTAGAAATGCCCAAACTAGCTGCAAAAAACGGAAGATATAAACAATGATCCATTGATGCAAAAAGTTTTGACATTATTCTTCTTTAGATTGTAGAGTAGTTCTAAAATTGTGGAAGTTATTTTTTATGTATGGTTTTACCTTGAAAAATGTGAGGGAAAATGAAATATAGTTTATTATTTTTTAACCTTTACATATTTTAGTTTCTTTTGTGACTCATCGGGAAACAGTCTATCTATGCTTTAGTACAAGGGTAAGACTACGTACATATGACCCCCTTACCCCACGGAAGGTGGGAGCCTTTGCGGCACTGGGGTGATGATGATGATGACATATTTTAGTTTCTTATTCTTTATATAATAGAAATGAACTAATCAAATTAGTTTCAACAAATATCTAAAACAAATCCATTGAGTTTTAACCTGTTTTTTGTCCCCGGGTGTTTTCCTAAGCTTTCCTTCCCTTTTTCCCTAGGATTTATTGCGGTCCAAACTGACCATAGAAGATGTTGATGAACTATAGAGATGGTTTGATACAATTGTTGATGACTTTGAAGTAAAAACTATTAAATCTTGGTCTTCACCCTAAAAGGTCAACCCTATAAGAGTAATTCAAAAACATTATAATGGAATTTGTATATTTATAATTGGCCAGTGTGAGATGACTAAAAAAAGAAAATGCAAGAGATTTTGAGTATGTATATGGCAGTTGTGTTTGGTATAAAGCATGCCAGAACGGCAAAGAGGCACAATAATAATAAACGTAGAAGCTAACCTGAAATAGAAACGCAAGGAGGGCTCCATGTGCGATATGGCTTGAAATGGAACATCGCCTGACGGGGAAGGGGTATGGTGGTAGCTATTGCGAGAGATTGAAACATTGTGTGGCTAACTCGATTACTTTGATGTATGCATTGAGGAAGATCTCAATATATTGAAGTTGTTCTATGAACATTCCAGCCTACATCATCAGCATCATTAACCAACCAGTCAAAAAGAGAGAGGAGGAGAGAGAAGTAAACGAGAGAGAAATGAACTTGTGTCCAGTACACTCCCTCCCAACCCCCCTTTTTTCCCCTCTCCCCCTTTCTACAACCCCAAAGCAAGACCATACTGCAAGAGTTTGAATTGGAAATATTTGTAGTGATGATGATTCAGCGAATCTTGTTTTATGACTTTATCTTCAGCACTTTAAAACATGTCTTTAAAAAGAATCCATTTATGGGAATCGAAAATTCTCATTAAATGGAATTCCCACGAGGGTGTGGACATTTAATTGATAAATTTTTAAAAATCGCCAATTCCATGTTATGGGTAGGTTGGATTAGAAAATACCAAGTTTCAAAATAAGAATCGGACCTTACTTGTCACGATGGTCCGATCTGAATTCTCAATTCTTTTTTTATAAGAAGATACAACTATACTAGCAAAGTATCTAGTAAGCTATAAAATTTTCAAATTCGTTAAGTATCAATGTCATCGTAATAATAATATAGTAACAATTTAAAATAAAAATATAAAACAACATTTTAAATTAATTAACAAAATATCTAACCACAAATCTATAAATTAAATCACGCACAACCACATGTAACCACAAATCTATAACACCAAATTTTAAAATGTAAATATTTAGACATTATCACCCATAAACAAAAAAGATAGCATTATAAAGTCGTAAGAAATAAACTAGTTACTATACATTTTTATCTATGAAGTCCATTTAAAAGCTTGCTAAATCTCAAAATATAAGTAAAATTAATATAACTGGATGGATATGGCACAATTCATTGAATAAGAGTCTTTGTATACAAAAAAAATTGATGCATTTGAAATAAAAATTGGGGGAAATAATTTTTATTTCAATACGTAATTTAAGACAATTTTCTTAATTAGTCGCTCATCTACCGTCGGTTGGTTCGTCACTTCCCCAACTTCCACTTAGACGATTATGGCCTCCTAGAGAAAATGAGCGACAGAAGAAGATTGTGGATTCATCCCCAAAATCTTTCGATGCCGAGGAAGAGAATGGGGCCAAGGACAAGCTTGAAACCTCTTTACTCAACATATCCTAGCTGAAACCTTATTTGTAACGTGTCTTTGGCTTGTACTTCGTACTAATCTTGCAAATTAATGAAATCTTGTTGCCTTCGCCTTCAATTCATGTTTAAATATCCGCTTTTTGGGCCTTTACACTTTTGAGTCATTGTACTTCCTAAGTAAGTATGCCTTAGCTAGGCCATAAGGTGTGGCCTTCAATTCTCGGCCACGCATGGCCCTTAATAAGTGGCCCATCGATGGATTAGTTTAAGCTTCTATATTGACCAAAAATTTAAACATAATTTATATGAAGTACGGAGTATATAATTATATATAAAATAAAACTTGTAAATGCAAAATTATTTCAATCATAATTTAATTTTGATGATACACGATAAATATAAAAATAAAATTATTGCTCTAAATGTATACTTTTTAACAAAATTTTAAATGTATTTGACATTAGATAAATAGTAGCACTATAACATTTAATAAAAAATTATAAATATTATATTGGTATATCTACTTATAAGAATAGGTATAATATTTGTTATCATTAATATTACTCTGTATGATTTCTAGGAAGCAAGACGTCAAGAACTAGCAAAAATCTTAATTAAACAATTTTTTAATACAAACGTTATAATAATATATTAATACCCTCTCCGTCCCATTTTGGTTGTCTTACTTTTCTTTATGGGTTGTCCCAAAATGGATGTCATGTTTTCCTTTTTGGTAAAAAACTTGTTGTCCATATTATTTCACTTCATTCTACTCAATTCTCAACCACAACTTTTGCTTTTCAACAACTTTATTAATAATTGTGTCAAATAAAAATGAGACAACCATTATAGGACGGAGGTAGTACTTGTCAAGAAAGAAAGAGCAAAAACCCAAATTGGTGTAATGGAATAGGTGTTGCAATATTTCCCGGAGATGAATGGATGGATTCCCATCAGCAACGTGTTTCCTCATTGGGCCGGGGCTTTTCCTATTTTCCGAGCTTGGACGGTTCGGTGTTCAGGCCGGGTCTGTAAGAGATACCGGGTATTTCCGGATTTCAACACATTTGCGGGTTTGCCGGTAACCGGACTGTGCTCTAGGTCGCCCGTTCAGGGTCAAACCGGCCGATCCGGTCCGGTTCTTTAAACAGGCCAGGATTCGGTTTTTACTGGAAGTAGTCGATGCAAACAATGGTCCAACAATTATTCCGGGTAATTGTCGAAATGAAATCGCCATGAGAGGTCCTCCTCGACACGGCAAAACCCAAGGAATACGTTTTGGGTCATGTTAAGTGAAAATATAATTAGATGACCCGCATGGCCGCATATCATCATACTGGTATAACAGTAACTGCTCGGCTAAAATTAACATTTACGTGTTTTTTTAGGAGGATAGTGTTTATATTCTTTTTCTAGATAGATAATAAACACTTATCAATCAGCTTGTCTAGTGTACAGACATGATCAACAGTTTTGCATAGATAAGTCCAGTGGTGGTTGAGTCATTTCTTCTTTTGACTCTCTCTTTCAGCTTTTATCTTTCCTGTTGGTTCTGAACTGCGCGTGATTTAGTCTGTTCTGAATTCCACAGAGTTGTTTCTTTTCTTTAAGGTACTTTTCTTTGCGTTTGTCGGTCCCTTGATGCCTGATCAGCTTTTTTCTTCTGTGATGTGTGTCTGTTATTCGATGGATTTGGGGGTTAGTGATTCGCGAAGCGGTTATAGCCGCAAGGGATTATGATCTTCTTCTATCGTGGATTGAAATTCTTTGGTTTTGGTTGATCTTCATCGTCTGGATGGAAATTGGATTTCTCTTCTATTTTTATGAAGTCCCCCAATCATACTCAGTGCCGGCTTTAATCTTTTTATGTGATTGCTTCTCTTTCTGCTTTTCTTTGGCCCTTGATTCTACTCACTTTTCATAATTTTTATTTATTTTGTAGTCGAGAATTGAAAATTTTTCTTGATTGGAAATAGAAAGAAGAAGCTTGAAGTTTAGAGCCCCTTAGGTAGAACCCTTAGGCTTATTCCCTTAATAGGGCTGTCTGGAAAGGGTGATAGGTCTGTATTTGCTGAACTTTTCTGAAAGCAAAAGATTTGGAAATACCCTATTCAGCCAAATAAGCAAGTCAAAAAACCCCTTCAACAAAAATGCAAGTCAAAAACTAATTATGTTTTTTTTGTGATTATTCTATGATAAGCAGACTTGACAACTTTTGGATGCCAAAAGGGCTCTTGAATAACTAGCTTTTGGGTTACTTATTTGGCTGAAATAGGTTTGACCAAACGTCTTTCCTTACCAAGCTGAGCCTTTGTATCATTACATATGAAAATGCAAACTCACTCTCACAGAGACACACTCTGGTTCTGGTTGAGAGTTGAAACGGATCACATCATTCATTTGATTTGTTATTCTTTTGTTGTGGATGAAAGATGTTGTTTTTGTATATAATGTCTTTGATATGTATGATGTAGACATTTTGACATATTTGCTGTGCTGGAATTCGTGGATTGATCTGAAAGTGGTATTACATGGGATCTGAGGGGCCACCAGCCATAACAATCCATATTACGGGTTTTAGAAAATTTCATGGGGTAGCAGAAAATCCAACGGAAACGATTGTGAGTAACCTTCAAGAATATATGAAAAAAAGGGGAATGCCCAAAGGGTTCATTCTTGGGAGTTGCACTATTCTTGACACTGCAGGCCAGGGAGCATTAGCTCCTCTGTATGAAACATTGCGGTCTGCACTAAGCAACAATACTTCTGATCCATCAAATTCAAGAATTATCTGGGCAAGTCTCTTTCCCTTGCCCGCTTGGTTTTATAAGAATATATCTGTTTCACTTTAAAGGATGGCCAATGGCCAGTAAATTATGTTACTCTTTTAAGTATAATTAGGATCACATGAACTCCTATCACTTCACACCCTAGAAAATGACATTTTAAAAGGACACTGATTTTTCCTTATTGGATATGAAAGCATTGGATGCCTACACTATATTCCTGTCAAATTAGACCATGGAGAAATGTGACATTTCAGACTCGGCTTTTCCACGTTGTTACTTCATTAAAGAAACACGAGATAGTCATGGCATATCTTACTAATTTGGATAAATTACTTTCTTTTATTCCACTACCCTGGGTGTTTACAAAACTAGTCATGTACGAAGTATGTTTTTTGGCAATTAAGATCTCTTTCTTCCAAAAAATTAATAATTTAGTCTCAGAACCACTAAGAATTACAAAGCTCATGAGAAAAAACCGTTGAAATTAGGGGTCTATTGAATCAATGGTGATTTGTCAATTTCATAAATTTAAAATTATGCATTTTGAACATGTTTGAGATTTAATATAATTATCACGTCTATTTTCAATCAATTAACGGTGCTTCGGGCTAAATTGTCTATATTTTGAAAGTAGGTCTGAATTCCTAAAACATATTCTAACAAGACAAGTTTTTGCAAAACCTCCTTTTTGGATAAGGGACCCAAAAGCATTTTACTCTACTAATTTGCTATGTTGGAAAAATGCACGATAAGACCCGCTCTTGTCTACCCAGGCAATGCCACATTGGGCTTCGCTTGGCTGTCTACATTCTTTTTCTTTCTTCTTTCTTACATGATCTTGCCTGATTAGCTCTTTAGAATCATGGCTAAATATTGCTCCATAATATATATTCAAGGTAACTTCATAAGATCTGACATTTGTCGTGCTTAAAGACTACATTTTTAAACATATGCTAGACTTTAAGATCCTGAGTGCTTCATTTGCTTGTGAAATTGGTTCATTTAAGTATTCTGAAAATAAAAAATTGTTACATTTCATAAAGAGAGCAATTTTAGAATTCCTAAGTTTTTCTTTTTCTGATTATTTCTAGTCCTTTAGAAGAAGAAATAATCCTTGAGACTTTTATACCCTTATCCGCATCACATAGACCTACCCTGACCATCCCATATCTTGGCCACTCCCACATGCTCACCTCCCAAACTCTGATCACACCAACTACATGTCTAAATCCCATCTGAAATCCTGACCACACTCACACATTTCGTATGCAAACTTTTTTCCAAACCTCCTCAACAATTCATTCCGTTTTGACTTTCTGGAACACTAATTACAGAAATTTCATCTGAGAAAGGGAATAAGTTACCAATATTTCATTTTGTACAGTTATACAAAGTAATGGAATTGTAATAGCTTTATTATTATTCCGATTAACTCAATTGTTTTGTTACTCAAAATTCACCGATTTTAACTCTTCTCCGTATCTGGAAACCAGAACCTTTGTGTGTTAAAATTATGTGTAGACTTAACCTGGGATTACCCCATTTGTGTCTCAAGTCTTTCATGTTGTTATCACATATATTTTTCAGGTACACTTTGGAGTTAATAGTGGTGCTACAAGGTTTGCCATAGAACAACAAGCTGTTAACGAGGCCACTTTCCGCTGCCCGGATGAAATGGGATGGAAACCACATGTCAGTATAATGTCCTCTATTACCCTCCGTACACTTTTTTTCTATATCATTTATTTTAGTGATTACCCTTTGTTGTTTATTTGCAGAAAGTTCCAATAGTTCCCAGTGATGGTGCAATTTCACACATAAGAAAGGTGAGTTCTCTCTCTCTCTCTGAAAGTGAAGGTGAACTGTCTTCAATTTTTCATGCACAAATTGCCTCGTATATATCTGGTATTTTCAACTTCTTCGGGAGACAATTGCCTTTACTTTTTTCTATGATGCTGCTCTATACTAAACCAAAATGAGTTTGTTACTGATATTTCATAATCGTAAATGTCAAAATCAAGGCCACTATGAAATTAATACTTTTCATGGGGGGAGGGGGGTCATGTTATCTGTAAGGTGTGTGATTTTCTACCCCTCCATCCATTACATGTCAAGCACTCAAGCTCAATTTACCGCATGGTAACTCTCTCCATCCCAATTTGTTTGTCGATTTAGCCAATATATTTTTTCACAAAAGAGTTGCCGTTCTAGGATTTCAATGCATATTTTGTATTAATCACCCACATTTGCCCTTATTGACTTTTCTCATATCAAAGGTTATTTTGACTTGAAAAGACATAAAA